AAAACAAAAAAACAATACAAATTTATTATCTCTACAGTTCTGGAGCACCGAAGTCTGAAATAGGTCTCACCGGGTTTAAGTCAAGGTGTCTCTGGTTTGTCTGATGTTTTTTATGGTTGCACTGAGGTTATACTGTGCATTTTCAGCAATTCTGTGACAATACCACAGAAGTGAGGTGCCCTTCTGGGTGTATCAGATCAGTGGGTACTTGATGTCATTATGTCTTAATAATTGGTGATATTAACCTTAATCATTTGGTTAAGGTAGTGTTTGCTAGGATTCTCCACGGTAAACTTATTATTTCCCTTTTTCTAATTACTAAATATTTTAGGGGAGATACTTTGAGACTGTGCAGAGAGCCTATTTTTGCTTAAATTTTGCCTAGGCTTTTACTTTTTCCGTTTGAAGTAAATTTTACTGTCTTAAGGAGTAGAAAGCCATTGTTACCCGCAGGATTGGCAAGAGCAAAGGAGCGTGTAGTCGGGCGCCCAGCGGGCCGCCCGTTGCCCTGGAGATGGGGTCCTTCCTCCGTGGGCGCCGCCATCTTGTGGCGCCAGCCCGGGCCCAATGAGCGGCTGCACAGTGGCCGGAGGCGGGGCGGCGGCGGCGCTCGGCGCGGTCTGCGGCTCTGCTGGTCCGGGTCATGGAGGCGCCCACCGCCCGCCTGGTCCTGCTCTTGCTGCTCGGGGCCTGGGCCCCGGGGCCGGGCAGCGCCTCCCCGGAGGCACCGCTGCTGGTCAACGAGGACGTGAAGCGCACGGTGGACCTCAGCAGCCACCTGGCTAAGGTGACGGCCGAGGTGGTCCTGGCGCACCCGGGCGGCGGCTCCACATCCCGCGCAGCTTCCTTCCTCCTGGCCCTGGAGCCCGAGCTCGAGGCCCGCCTGGCGCACCTCGGCGTGCAGGTGAGTGCGGGCGAGCGGCGGGGTTCGGCGCGCGCCAGCCCGGCCGCCTCGGTGGACACGTCAGCGTAAGCCTGCTGAAGCGAGGCCGCCGCCCACGTGGGCAGCAGTCCGATCGCGGCCCCCCACTCCTCCGAGTGGGCCCTTCCTGGGCGGGCGGGCGGTACCCGCGCTGGCCTTGGGCCGAGCGAGCTCCCCTTGCCCGCCCTGCCCGGGGAAACCAGGCTAGTGGCCTAGCGGGGCGCGGGTGTGCTCCAAACTTTGGTTTCCCACGACTTGACTCAGGAGCCCAACCGGAGGACGAAGAAGTGAGCCCAAATGAGTATCATTCTCTTAATTCAGTGTCTGGCCCATAGTGGGTGCTTCTTTCTAGCCGTCATCCAATACAATCAGAAATGTAACATTGTGTATTTTCCAGTTTGTAATTTGAAACCGTTGTTAGTGTAATACACTTAAGGTTGCTAATGAACGCTTTTTAAATTTTGTTCCTCTCCTTAAAGTTAGTTTAAGAAGTCATGTAGGTAATAAAACCTCTTTTAAACTGTACAGAAAGGTCAAGGCCGAATCACTCCCTTCCTCCTACCGGTTCACGTTCTTGCATCTCAGCAGTATATGGCTTGGAAGTTTGCTTTATGTACTTCTCCAGCATTTCAGTGAACACTTTTACAACTCTCAGGGAAATAAAATATTGGCTTACATATCCATAAGTTTGCTTTTTATTACTATTTTCATTAAGCAGCGTCCATTAAGTGATTACCCAATTATTTGTTGAGGGACTAGTCATTACAGTGTCATATTTCTTCTAAGTACATCTTACTCTCTGACTGAATCTGGAGCTATAAAGCTGGGTTTATAGAGCTTATGCCTCTGAAAGGATTCCTCTTCCTTTTCTTACCTTGTCTGTGATGGAATGCACAGTTTTACTCAAAGGTTTGTGTAAAGATGGATCAAAACTTCATTTAAATGTGTGCTGCCACCTTTGAGTGTTTTGAATGTTAAATCCCATTCTTTTATAAAAACTAGTTCTGGGGGCGCCTGGGTGGCTCAGGTCATGATCCTGGAGACCTGGGATCGAGCCTGGTGTCAGGCTCCCTGCTCAGCGGAGAGTCTCCTCTCTGCCTGCCACTCCTCCTGCTTGTGCTCTCTCCCTCTCTGTGTCAAATAAATAAATAAAATCTTAAAACAAAACAAACAAAAAACTAGTTCTGATAAATTGAAGTTGCCACAGTTTAACGAGACAGCAACAGAGACTATCTGTCATCATGCTGAAGAATGCTGGATTACTGCAGACATGTCCTGTTGGCAATCTACTTTGTGTTGGGTGTTGTGGTAGGTGTTTTAAGTACATTCTCTTTAACCCTCATAACAGCCCTTTGAGGTGTAGGCTTACTGCAGGTGAGGAGTGCAGTCTAGGAGTTAAGTTGTTTAAACCTCGTGTCAGCTCTTAGAGCGATGAGTGAATCGGGGCTTAGGTTAGTTTCAAACTTTGTGTGCTCTTCACTGTACCCCATTGCCTCTTTTGGCCTAGATGGCTCTGAGGTAGGGTTGTGTAGGGATGTAAGACCTGCAGTCACATCACCAGATTTATTCAAAATCATTTGTTAATTTTATAGTCCCTTGAGAGAGACGGGTTAAATAGATATATGTGCTCCTTTGCACCCCTATCCCAATGGGAAATGTAACTAGATGTTAGACTTAGCAAAGAGGGTGTGTATTTTTCAACAGTTGACTTCGAGGCCTTGATAAGGTTGCTAGAAGTTTGAATTTTCAGTGGATTTATCTTTAGCCTTCCATGTAGAATTTTAGGAACTGGTTAGAAGGGACAATGGTGACTTCTTAAAGAATTTTTTTTCAAGATTTTTATTTATTTGAGAGAAAGCATGAACAGGGGGAGGGGCAGAAGGAGAAGCAGACTCTCTGCTGAGCAGGGAACCCAACATGGGGCTGGACCCCAGGACTCTGGGATCATAACCTGAGCCAAAGGCAGGCACTTAACCGGCTGAGCCACCTAGGCGCCCCACAGTGATGATTTCTGATGAGGATCTAGTGGTTCCTCATCTTCTTACTACCAAGGACCATATTAATATTTTTCCTCTCATGTGGATTCTATATTTGAAATCTTTTGTCTCTCTGATCTTTTATTAATATCTTTTAGTAAGAGATCAACATGTAACTGAATGGTGATAAGCACGAGTATACTAGAATGTTACCATTGTGATAAGATTCCAGTCAAAGTGATGAAGCTTGTTTTTATTGGCCTGTGCAGCTTTATTGAGGATGATTGTATGATTACTTTCAGGCATTTTATTTTTATTTAAAAATTTTTAAAAAAAATTTATTTGAGCGAGAAAGAGAGACGGAGGGAGGGAGTGCGAGCAGGGGGAGGAGCAGAGGGAGAGGGACAAGCAGACTCCCTGCTGAGTGCAGAGCTCAATGTGGAGCTCAGTCCCATGATCCTGAGATTATGACCTGAGCCAAAACCAAGAGAAACCAAGGGTCAGATGCTTAACTGACTGAGCCACCCAGGTACCCCTAAAATTTTTTTTAAGGATTTTATTTTTTAAGTAATCTGTACGCCCAACATGGGGCTTGAACTTTCAACCCTGAGATCAAGAGTTGAATGCTCCACCGACTGAACCAGCCAGGTGCCCACTTTTAGGCATTTTAAAATATTAAAAATAGCTTCTTCCTCATTATAATTCTGTGTGTCCTATTGGGAACAAGTGCTTCAGCCCAAAAAGTAATTTTACTTTTTTTTTTTTTTCCTTAGCAGAGTTTGGGTTGGCAAAGAGATCGGCAGTGTGTATTAGGTTTTCCTTGTAGTTTGCTCCACCATCTCATGATTCAGGGTGTCTGCTTTTTCTCAGGTAGACCTTGCAGCCTGCTGGAGTTAACATTCTCTTCCTGGTTACACATCCTTTTGCAGTGAAGGATGAGAATAAGGGAGTGTGACAAGCAGTGGTTGTTGGACTTATGCTACTGTTAACTTTCATGCAAGTAGAACCAGTTTTGGCAATGTGTGAGACTTTTCTACTACAACAGTAAATAATACTATTTATTTTCTATGCAAATGTGTATTTGAATGTAAATGGAGAAGAAAACGTCACCTTTGTATTGGGAAACGTAAAGTGTAAGTGTAATTTTTATTTATATGTGTGTGTTTGGTCATTCAGGAAAATGTTATGTATTTATAGAGCTTACTATACAACTTACTCGTTGCAAAAGTAAGTCTTTGACAATGTTCTTATGTTTCATATGGAAAAAAAATTGTTACCAGAGTTGTCTTTAAGTTCTTGTAGTTTGAATACTTTACTGTGGACATTCTAAGGCAGTTGGTTAACTGTTGACTCAAATTTAGAGGCTGAAAGACATAATAAAAAGAATAGCCTCTTTTGTCCTGTTACAGGTGAAGGGAGAAGATGAGGAAGAGAACAATTTGGAAGTACGAGAAACCAAAATTAAGGGTAAAAGGTAAGCAACCAAACAGTCAGAATATCTGTATATTCTGCCTCTTCTTGTTGTAGGGTATCCTATCGGTTGGAATCATAAGGTAGGAGAGTTGCTGAGGACATACCTGGTGTTTTAGAGGCTGTTTCAATTAATATAGTGTGTGTTAAGTAAGCAACAGGCTATAATGTATTCTGACCCAGTGATGTCTTTTCTGATTAGTGATGCTAAAATTGCCCCTCACGATGGCAGTTTGTTTTACAGGAAGGTAGCTACTTTCCATACCAGGTCAGGTCTGCTAATGTATGTGGGGATAGGGATCTCCAAACAGTGGATGGAGAATCAGTATGGTATGTGAGAACTCCAGGCTGTTTGTCTCAGTAAATAACCTCCGATCTGTTGTTGGCTACCATCCTCTTTCCAAAGGGCAGACAATTCTACCCCCTCCCCACCTCCTCTTGAGCCTTCAGGGCATTGAACGTGGTGCTTCTTTGTGGGAGTTAGACCGAGCTCTCTGAAGGCTGGCGTTGGACTTGTCTTGTTCTTTGCTTTAACCTCAGCACCTACCATGGGGCCTGGCACTTACTAGTTATTGTAAAACGTTTTGTTAAGGATATTTTCCAAAACGAATACAAAGCAGGAAGAATTGAATAAAGAATCCCCATATATCTCATCACCTAGCTTCGACAGTTACCAGTATTTTGCATGGTATTGATTAGGCGTTGAAATATTTGTTGAATGAGTGATGTGGGAGGAAGAAATGTTTTTAGCTCAGTGATTCTTAACTGGAGGAGGGAGCAGCCGTGTCCTGCACCTGCCCCGCCCAGGACATTTGGTAATGTCTGGAGACATTTTTAGTTATAGCTGAGGGGTGCTGATGGCATCTAGTGGGTAGAGGCCAAGGATGCTCCTAAACATCCTACAGTGCCCAGGACAGGTTCCTCCTCCCAGCAAAGAATTATCCACTCACAAATGTCAGCAGTGCTAAGATTAAAATACCCTGTTTGCTGAGGCAAACAGCGTTAGCTTATGCTGTAGTTTATCATAAAAAGAAATAAAATATTTGATTCTTGACCAGCAAACCTTTGGACCTTACAGCTGTCAGTCCCCACATGATTCAGAAAGTGTTAAATTTGGTCTCCCTGCTTGGCAGAGCTTGGTTTTGTTTTGTTTTGTTTGCTTGGCAAAGTTTAAAAAATTTTTTTCTCATTAGTTTTAAATTAAAGAAATGAGAATATGACATAACTATTTTCTTTATGCATATGCCCATTTATACATAATTTTACATAAGCATATAAATGGGATAATTTTAAATTTATTAATCTGTCTGTATAAAGTTTAATGGCAACATTAAACAAGTCACTTGTCCTGCAACCCTAACATGACAACTTACGTGTCTTTGTTCTGATCCACGAAAAAATCTGTTCCTTAGATGCCAGTATAGTCAGCTCTGTGTTGTCTGCCTAGTCTTTCATCAATCAGAAGCTTTCATTAGCTGCTGCTTCTGAGTTGCAATGAGACTTGATATTTCCTTTTTTTTTTTTTTAAGATTCATTTATTTATTTTAGAGAGAGAGAGAGAGTTTGCACAAGTGAGCAGGAGCGAGCAGGGCAGAGGGAGAGGAAGAGAGACTATCAAGCAGACTCCATGGTGAGCACGAAGCCGTATGTGGGTCTTGGGGCTCAATCCCGTGACCCTGAGATCACGTCCTGAGCCAAAACCAAGAACCGGACCCTTAACTGTGCCACCCAGGTGCCCAAGAATTGATACTTCTTTCTCTCCTTCTTTTTTTAAAAGATTTTATTTATTTATTTGACAGA